TCCCTGATTCCTGACAGCGAGGCTTTCTGATATATCAGCAATTCTGGCAAATGAGAGAAGCCCAGCAGACGAATCTCCTGGCTTCCTGCCAGGAGTTAAGCAGCAGCTTGTGCTGGGGGGTTGAAAGGTGTTTACTTAAAGAGACAGGGAGAGAAAAAAAAAAGTCTCTGGGGAAAAAGATGAATCTTGGTTATATAATCATGATTTGGACTCCGGAATACAAGGAGATGACATCCCCATCTTCCTGCCTGCTACTACAAAGCCTGGGCTATTCACCACAAAGGTACCTGGTACATGTGTATTTGGTGATGTTAAACCGTTCGTATATAAAGCTTGCCTTGGAAAGGGAGCATGGATAAACTCCTCGTCGAAGGAGGCTGCACACGGGTTGGGTCCCTGGGGAGCTCATGACATCTTAGGAGGCATCTCAACAGGGACGGTGACAAAAGGCCCTGGGAGAAAGCTACTGGGAGCTGCAGTCATGCTTGCAGAAAAGGCTTACACTTGGCTCCTCTCCAGGTTGGGAAGGGTCTAGTGGACGAAGCTGAGCTTTTGGTCTCTGTGTTCATGGAAGACTGAGCAAGGGAAGATGGGATTAAAGGCAGGAAGGACTCAGACTGGTACAAAGTCAAATTGCATGTGCCGGGGGCTGAGACGCAGGAGCGAGGAAAGGCCAGACGCTATTTGCCCTTTGGCTCTAAGTCTTGCAAAGAAAACCAGAGCCACTGCTGCTAGTTGCCATCAAGTTGATCCTGACTTAGAGCTGAACTGCCCCATGAGTTTTTCTAGACTATAATCTTTACAGGAACAGATTTTTCTCCCACAGAGCCACTGGGTGGATTCGAACCTCCAACCTTTCGGTTACCAGCCTGGTGCTTAACTGTCGTGTCTTGTGCAGTATCTAAGGGAAATACAGTTGTTGTTTTGGACAGCAAAACAAAACAGGGAGGGCTGAACACTGCCGGCTACCCTGGGGGCCCAGAGCAGATCCCTCGAGGCTGGGAGTCACCAAAAGGTCTTGGTTCTCTCTGGAAGCTGCTTGATAGTGAATTTTAGCACTGGGTTTCTGAGGCAGTATCACTATGGAAGTAGATTGCCCAATCTTCCTTCTGAGGAGTGGCTGGTGGGTTTGAACCGCCAGCCTTCTGGTTAGCAGTCAAGTGCCTTAGGCAGTATGCTATCAGAGCTCCTGTTTTTTTTTTTTTTTTTTTAAACATTATGTGTAAAAAGGAACCATCACCTCGTTTACTCTGAGGGTGGTCACCTCACCTTGGCAGGCTGTCTCACAGGGAGAAATCACGCTGGCCCCAATTTCCATTGAAGACTTGGCTATCTGTTCTTGAGCACAGCCAAGGGTAATTTATTTGTGAAAATTCTTTCATTAGTTTTGAAAATTCAGGGACCACTTAAACAATTGGGGTCAGGTCCATCTCACCCTGGACTGCATTCTTACAGGAGCAGCAACATGGCACCTCACTCTAGCATCCCTCTCCAGACTGGCTTCCAATCTCTGATCCCCAAAGACGAAGCAAGGAGCCTCTTTTCAGGGACTGAAAAACCACAGTGATATTCTTCACTGATGTTGCTTCTAGTCTCTACAACCGTAAATGTTCAATCTATTTCGGCTCTTTCATTTCATAACATCACAAGTAAGGGAAACTGAGGAAAAGTGGCTCGTCCAAAGTCACCAAAGGTGGGTTGGTGGCAAACATGGGAAGATTCCCATTTCTAGCATGTTCCCTTGGACAGTATTACTTTCGGGCTTTGTGGGTAGGATTGCCTGGGGAGGGAGTTCACAGATGTGACTGAATTAAGAGACTGTGGCTGGGGTGCGTTGTTATTTTCCCATTGGGCCCCGCTCACTGCTATCAACCTCTAAATGCATGCAGGTCTGGGTTCCTCTCTCATGGGGAGAGTTTCTCGTACTCATCACCCCTCTCGTGGCCCTTTACAACCAGGACAATTAGGGCCCCTCCAAGTGTTTCGGAGACCCTTGCATGGACCCTTAGTTATGGACACGGGAAGACTCAGTGGGGCAGAAGCAGCTTCCTTGGCAAGGAGGTCTCTGTTGGCAAAATGTCTGTCCAGCAAGAGGACAGACAGAGACACGCTCAGGCCTGTGAAGCACCCACATGCGACCAGATGCTGGGGGACAGGCTCAGAAAGCCCTTCAGGTCAGCCCCTGCAGCTTGTCGAGGGGGACCCCAGAACACAAGCCCAACACGAGCGACAGCCATGCACCCACGATATGCCTTTGTCAGGAAGATGGGGCGGGGGACGACACAGAGTTTCTTAAGAGCCACTGCGGATTATGAAGCCATTGCGCTGTAGCAGGAGAACTGGAGGAGGGACAGGAAGAGGGCCCAGGAAACCACAGGGGGACGAGAATCCCAGGAGGGGAGACAGGACGCCAGGCGGAGTGAGGTCACGTGGAGTTCCATAGAAAAAATTCAGTGGTGTCCTGCGCACAAAACCTCAGCCTCCCTGGCCACAGCACCAGGAGGGCCACTTGCCGTCCGTCCGTCCGTCAGGGCAAGAGGGATCCAGTTAGGAGCTGAAAACCCTGTCAGAGGAGAGGCGGGGAGAGAGTTAGTAGGGGTGGAACAAGGCCGTTTTCGTTCCTTAGAGACACTCAGTAAGCTGGGGGCGGGTGGACAGCGGCTTCATCTCTTTCTTTCATTTCCTCGTTCAAGTCTCAATGTCTTGGGCAGAACCCAGTGGAGGCCTGTCTTGTTGAATGAATGAAAGAGTGAGTGAATGACAGCCAGCTACCCAGAGGGACTGAGTAGTTGAACCTGCAGGCTTGGGACCATAGTCGCAGGAGACATCAGGCTCAATTGGCATAACATACTATACAAAACATTGTTCCACCTACTACTTTGGCGAGTAGCGACTGGGACCTTAAAAGTTAGGAAGCTGCCATCTAGATGCAACAACGGGTCTCTCCTCAT